AGCAGCTTTGAAGGAAATCTGTGGTGTAAACTGAACAGAACTGTGCCCTAACCCTTTGCTTTATTAGCTGAGCATGCCTTTGTTCTAGTTGCTAGAGGAAGAACTAGTTTGACTTAAGCTGTTTGTGTGTACAAACAAAACATTAATGGGTAATTTCTTAAGCTAATTCTTGCACTTCTCGCAAACGCAGTGGGTTTTTTCATCTCTTTAAATGCTAATATAAATATTTTTCTTTTTCTAGGGTGAAAATCCTATTTACAAGAGTGCAGTGACAACTGTGGTCAATCCTAAATATGAGGGAAAATGAACACTGCTTGTATAACTTCACAACACTGTATGCAGCGTAGCAATTTTTGTAGTCACAGTAAGATAGATTTAGGGCAAACTGCAGTGATTTTACTAATTCATTACATATAGGTTTGTTTTCCTGTGCAGGTTTTGAAAATGTACCATATGTAATTTTTTATTTTTATCTTTTTTGCGAATAAAAGTGATCAGTGCCAGGGGTCTGACAAAAAACTTGAGATTGTGTAGCCTAGTCAGCCAAGGTCACATGGTGCCTTTCGGAGCTTTTCCACTCCTGTGCTGTGAATCCAGGTCTTCTGCAGGGCGCGATACTTCTGTGGCAGACTGGGAGGGACATGGGTAAAGCAGTCAGCATGAGGGCTCTGCCGAGCCATTTAGTATTAAACTTTTTAGCTTTACAGGGAAATCAGGGCTTGAGTTTGCAGATCTAATTAAACTCACGTAGCATGGAGCTAATGGTTAATTGGTCTTCTACTTGCTAGGCATATGATTAAGTGTATGGTAAGTTGAGCAAGTTGGAAGTGAACAGTGTAAAAGACTGAAAAGTGTGTGCATACTTACTTTTAATTTTTAAGTTGCTTATTGCCAGGTTATGGTTAAAATGAAAGGGTTTGAGAGTAATGTTGAGAAGGGAAAATATAGCTTTAAAACATGTGCCATTACTGAAAAAAATTGCTGACTGGTGACTTGCTTAGTTTTTCTTTGTAAATTCAAGCCCTGAGTGGCAGTATCATGAAGTACCTTACCAAGACATCCTCCAAACACACAAGGGCCTTACGTCATACTGTGTCTTTATTCTGTAGTGTTTCCTTGGTTTAAAGCCTGGTGCTTTGTCACCCTTCTAATCTTTTTAACGTATCTGGTTGCTATTCTTTTTGTAATATTTTTGTATTGACACAAGCTTCCCCCCCCCCCCCCCCCTC